TGGCTACACACTTTATATTCATTCTCTCTCTCTATCTCTCCCTCCCCCCCCCACCCCACCAAAGAGATGAAGTCTCACTATGGTACCCAGGCTGGTCTCAAGTTCCTGGACTCAGGCAATCCTCTCGCCTTAGCCTCCCAAAGTGCTGGGATTACAGGCATGAGCCACCGTGCCCAGCCACAATAGCCACTATATACACCATCTCTTATTTCATCCTCACAACAGCCCTAGACAAAGAACTAAGACTCAGAGAGGTTAAGGAACATGTCCCAGGTCACACAGCCCAGTGCGTGGAGCGTTAAGATCAAGCCAGGTCTGTCGGGGGTAGCCAGCTGTCATTCTTGTAACTTGAAAACATTAGAAATGGCATCTGTCCCGGCACAGTGACTCATGCCTCTGATCCCGTCACTCTGGGAGGACGAGGTGGGAGGATCACTTGAGGCCAGGAGTTCGAGATCAGTTTGGGCAACATAGCAAGACCCCCCCAATTCCAAAAAAACAAATTTAAAAAGGAGGAAATGGCATCTGCAAGCACCTCCCTTTTATCATTATATTTTTCAATTTGCCGTGGCCCCATCACCAGCAGCGGTTCCCAAAGCTCCACCCCCGGCTCCCCTCTGTCCACCTTTTACGACGCGATGACATGTGCGGAAAAGACGCTGCATCCAACGGGGCACGTGATCATGTTACATGGTGAAGCATTTGTCCTCTGGCGTCCCTGAAGGCCACTGAGAAGCTAACGGTCGGGATGCTTACGGAGGGCCCCCGGCCACCCCTGGCCTGACTACCACCCGCAGCCTGAGTCTCTCGACGTGGGCTGCAGGGCCGGGGCCCTCCACCTGCCCACTCACCCTCTCCGCTTTGGATTCCAGCAACGACATCGCCCTCATCAAGCTGGCGGAGCACGTGGAGCTGAGTGACACCATCCAGGTGGGCTGCCTGCCAGAGGAGGGCACGCTGCTGCCCCAGGACTACCCCTGCTATGTCACCGGCTGGGGCCGCCTCTGGAGTGAGTACAGCCCCGAACAAATCCCGAGGGCCTTCCTGGAGGAAGCGGCATGTCACCCGCGTGTGCCCACCCCTTCTTCCTTTTTGCCTAAACATTTTCACATCTTTCTAAATTTTGTAATAACAACAGCTAATATTTATTAAGCGCATACTATGTGGCAGACAGTCTAACAGGCTCCTGTGAGGGCTGTTGTAAGGATGAAGCGGATTAGAATTTGTCAAGTGCTCAGAACAGGGCTTGGCACGTAGTAAGTGTCATATAAACAAGCTAAAATAAACCATTTGGGGTGGGGATTAGATCCCATGGTATACCCAGACAGGTCCCAGCTGAGTTCAAAGTTAAATGTGAAAAAGCAGCTGGGCACAATCCCAGCATTTTGGGAAGCTAAGGCAGGAAGATTAATTGAGGCCAGAGGTTCGAGACCAGTCTGGGCAACATACCGAGCCCTCGTCTCTACAAAAAATAATAAAAATGCAAATAAATGAGACAACCGGAGACTTAGAAGAAAATGCAGATCAATACTTAGAAAATCTTGCAGTGAGACAGACCTGGTCATATATGACACCACGCCAGACGCGGTGGCTCATGTCTGTCATCCCAGTGCTTTGGGAGGCCGAGGCGGGAGAATTGCTTGAGGCCAGCAATTCAAGACCAGCCTGGGCAACATAGCAAGACCCTGTCTTTACCAAAAAAGTGAAAAAATTAACCAGGCGTGGTGGCGCACACCTGTAGCCCCAGCTGCTCTAGAAGCTGAGGTGGAAGGATCACCTGAGCCCAGCAGGTGGAGGCTGTGGTGAGCTGTGAGCCTACCACCACACTCCAGCCTGGGCGACAGAGTGAGACTCCAACTAAAAAAAAAAGAAAAATTGTGTGACATCACGGGCAGAGAACCTTCAGAAAACGACTGACTTTAAACCCCAGGAGCCAATGGAAAGACAAGCAGGGGTGATTCCTTGAAGGCGTTTGTGGATTCCGTCTCCTCCAGTCTGCTCCCTTCCCCGCCCTTAGAGGCTCCCCTCTGGATGAAGGGCATGCATGCGGTTCCCACAAAATCATGGCTGGAGCCCCTGCATCCTGCCCTGGCCCTCTGCTCCCGGAAGGCCTGGGATGGGCAGGACCAGGCTGCCGCTGGGCCCCGCCCCAGCCCCTCCCCCTCACCTCGCCCATTCTCCCCCTAGCCAACGGCCCCATCGCCGAGGAGCTGCAGCAGGGCTTGCAGCCCATCGTGGATCACGCAACGTGCACCCGGAGCGACTGGTGGGGCGCCATGGTGAGGGACACCATGGTGTGTGCCGGGGGCGACGGCGTCACCTCAGCCTGCAACGTGAGTGGCCGTCCCTGCTCCAGGTGGCCAAGGGGACGGGGTGAGGGGGCAAACCCTTCCCTGGGAGGAGACCGAGCCCTGGCTGAGGCCAGCAGGCCTAGGGGAGACCTGTCACCCCAGCCCGTGTCCCCACCCTCCCCTGTGCTGGGGCGAAAGCATGAGAATCCAGCGTGAGTATCCGAGGGCAAGTCCCAGCCCCACCGCCTGCGAGTTGTGTGACCTTGGGAAGGCCGCTGACCCTCTCTGAATCTCAGTTTTCCCATCTATAAAATGGAGCTTCGGCAACTATTCCACAGGGTTACTGGGAGGACGACACGCGTCTGTAGGACATTGAAGAGGCTGCATTGACGTCACAACACACGCTCCTTTATGTCATTAGCCTCACCAGTCCAGGGGACAGGGACAGAACCATGAAGCACCTGAGATAGCCAGGGACTGTCCTGCTTTCATTTTTATTTATTTATTCTTTTTGAGTTGGAGTCTCACTCTGTCACTCAGACTGGAGTGCAGTGGCCACTCCCGGCCACCGCAGCCTCGACCTGCTGGGCTCCGGCGATCCTTCCGCCTCAGCCTTCCGAGTAGCTAGAACTACAGGCGCGTGTTACCACACACGGCTAATTTTTTGAATTATTGTAGAGATGAGGTCTCGCCAAGTTGCCTGGGCGGGACTTGAACCCGCGGGCTCAGGCAGTCCACTCACCTCGGCCTCCCAAAGCACGGGATTGCAGGCTGAGCCACCAAGCCCGGCTGTGGGACTGTCCTGTTTTCAAACACACGACCCTTTCCCACCCCACCCCCTCTCGCTCGCCAGACCTCCAACAGGGCGCCCAGCATCCTCACTCCTCTGGACAGCTCCCAGGGTCTTAGACATGGTGGCCTGAACAGTTAAGGAAACCGAGGCACAAAGAGGCTCAGCATCGTCCCAAGACCCCATAGCAAACCCAGAGCTGGTCTGATGAGGCCAAGGCAGCCCCAACGCACATCCTCTCCGCCTCCCGCGCCGCGGGCTGCCTGAGGCCGAGGCAGGGGGTCCGAGGCAGGGAGGCCCACCTGCAGCCCCCAGCCCACCCCCGCTTCCTGGCCCGTCTCCGCCTCTGGGGGAGGCCCGGCGGCTGATGCCTCCTGTGTGGCGCAGGGGGACTCGGGCGGCCCGCTGAACTGCCAGGCCGAGAATGGCGCCTGGGAGGTGCGTGGCATCGTCAGCTTTGGCTCCGGGCTGGGCTGCAACACCCACAAGAAGCCGGCGGTCTTCACCCGCGTGTCCGCCTACATCGACTGGATCCAGGAGGTGGGTGGGCCACGCACTCATGCACTGCTTCACTCCCTCCTCCACTCTCTCGTTCATTCCTTCACTCTTCCACTCACTCTTTCTCTCACTGCCTCACTCCTGCACTCATTCCTTCACTCCTGCACTCATTCATTCACTCCTGCACTCATTCATTCACTCCTTCACTCACTCCTTCACTCCCTCATTCATTTATTCACTCCTTCACTTACTCCTCTCACTCCTTCACTCCCTCATTCATTTATTCACTCCACTTACTCCTCTCACTCCTTCACTCCTTCCTTCACTCCCTTATTCACTCCTTCCTTCATTCATTCACTCCTCCACTCACTCCTCTCGCTTCTTCACTCCTGCACTCATTCACTCGCTCCTGCACTGATTCACTCCCTCCCTCATTCATTTATTCACGCCTTCACTCCTTCTCTCTCTTCTTCACTCCTTTACTCCTCCTCTCATTCATCCACTCCTTCACTCATCCATTCACTCGTTCTCTCACTCGCTCACTCGTTCACTGACTCCTTCACTCAGTCCACTCATTCACTCTCTTCTTCACTCATTCATCCACTCCTTCGCTCATTCTCTCACTCCACTCCTTCACTTACCCATCCACTCTTTCACTCTTTCCTCCACCCGTGCATGCGTCATTTGCTCATTCGGGGACCCTTTCCCGCACTTGTCCCCACATTCGCGCTCTCACTCATTAGTCCCTCCACTCACTCATTCCAGAAGTGCTGACTGGGTGCTCCCGGATAAGGAGACAGTCCCTGCCCCTCCACCCCCACCCACGGCTTTCAGCAGATGCATCTGTCCCTGCCCAGGCCCCGCACCGGCCGCCCAACACAGAAATGTGGCCCCCAAGGGCAGGCCCAGCAGAGAAAGGAGCAGAGCAGGCGGCCAGTCCTCATCCTGGGGGGGGGGAGGCAGGGCACCCTGGGCTGCGGGCTTTCGCCTGGGGACAGGTTGCGGGGACAGGTGTGTTCTGAGCCGCATGCACCCCACAGAGGGCAGCTCCTCATGCTGCCCCAGAAGGCGGCCCACTGGGGTCCTCACGCTGTGCTCTGCTCTTCCAGAAAATGCAGCTGTGATTCGTCTTGGGGAGCCACGGCAGCCAGTCCCTACAACACCAATAAACGTCCTTCCCCCTTGAGCAGCCTGGACTCTTGATTCGCGCCTCCCTGTGGGTTTCCTGGCTCTCGGGGCTACCGCCTCCTCACCAGGGAGCCAAAGAGAGACCTCCCCTGAGCCAGCCTGGCTAAGCCTGGAAAGGAGCTTCTGGGAACATTCATGGGGGCTGGGGTCCCAGGGAGGCCCCCAGGCACCCGAGGAAACGGAGTCAAGGACACACAGACACTGTCCCCACTCCATCTCATAAGCTGCAAGCAGGCAAGACCCCATTGGATCACCCGCTGCTCGGACCCTTCCTCCACAGAGGGACCTGGGGGGTCCCAAGGCCCCCAGCTGTAGGTGGAGGACAGGGTCTCCCCAAGGCCAGCCTCTCCTGCCCAGAGAGACCAGGCTACAGAAGGACACCCAGGGCTCAGGGACCACATTGGCTTCCTGCAGAAGGAGCCCCCAGCAGGGCACCCACCCCAGCACAGGCCCCACAACTGCTGTTGGCCTAGACTCTCTGCTTTGAGAAGGGTCTAGTGAGCCCTGACCCCGTGCCCAGGGCTATGCTGCACAAAGTGACCAGTGAGGGCCCAGGAAGAGATCCAGCCTGCCCTCAAGGCTCTATTTTTTTCCAATAGAGTCAAAAGGTCAGAGCTTTCACTGCATTAGACAGATGGGGAAACTGAGATCCAGAGAGAGGAATGAGTTGGGCCAGGTCACAGCAGTAGACAGCCAGCCCTGTGTAGGCCACAAGAGTCTCAGGAAGGGAGAGCTCTCCTAACACTGACTGGAGAGCCAAGGATGAGAGTGACCCAATGAACCGTGAGGGAGATTCCAGGTGGGGACCCTGGTCTGGGGCTCTCCTGAGAATGTACTGTTTGGCCGAGACAAGCCCCTGCCACCTCTGAGCCCCTCACACAAAGCCCTCGGCCAAAGCTGTCTCCGATTGCCCACCAGTTGTCCCTTTTCTCTTCAGACTTGGGTGTGACACCCCCCCCCCACACACACACACACACACCCACGATGCCAAGGCAAGTCTCAGGAAAGACTTTCCTCACTCAGTCAGCAACAGGACCTGCAAGGAGCCTGGTACCAGCCCAGACCTGGGAATCTGGGAATGGCTCAGACAAGACCTTAGCTCTGCCCATAAACAGGTCATTACATTCCCTGGTGTACGTGTGAAAACAGACATACAGACCAGGAGCACAGAAACGGGACACTTAAATCAGCATCAGCTGGCAGGGGGAGTCCGGGATGGCCTCCTGGAGGTGGTGATGCCCAAGCTGAGTAGTAAAATTTGAAGAGAAGGCACCACGCCCAGCAAGCACTCCTGTGTGCTCCACCCAATCTTCATTTCCAGCTACCTACTTTTGTGACTGTCTACATTGCAGGTAACAAAAGTTAAACCCTTATTGCCCCTGGTGCTGCTAGTTAGGGAAATCGGTTTTAGCCTATAAGTTATAATAATTAAATAATAGCTGTCATTCACTGGGCACAAAGTACATTTATTACCTCAATCCCCAAAAACAAACCCACAAAGCAGGTTGGTGTTAACATCATCCCCACTTGAGAAACGAGCAAACTGAGGCCAGGGAGGGCTCATGACTTTTCCAGAGAGCTTGAACTCCAAGATGGTGGCGCTGGGATCCACCATGTTCTGCTGTTCTGCAAGTTAAGGAAGAGTTTGCCGGAAAAGCAAACGTTTCCTGGCAAGAGGGATCGGACACAGCAGATGCCGTCCCTTCCCCTTGTTCCTGCCTTGAATACGGCTGTGATTCTAGAGCTAAGGCAGCCAATCTGTGCCCAGGAAAACTGCAGAGACATTGGCTCAGACCTCCTCGAGCTGCAGGTCTCACGCCAACAACCATCCTCCTCTGAATGTCTTGCTTTGTGAAAAAAGCAAATCTGTGCTTGTTTTAGTCCCTGCAGCAGGTTTTCTATTACTTGCAGCTCAGCACACTCCTAATCAATAGATACCCCAGGGAACAACAAAAGAAGTCACTTTCTTTTTTCTTTTTTTTTTTTTTTGAGTTGAAGTCTCACTCTGCAGCCCAGACTGGAGTGCGGTGGCCGCTCTCGGTCACCGCAACCTCGACCTGCTGGGCTCCAGCCATCCTTCCGCCTCAGCCTTTCAAGTAGCTGGAACTACAGGCGCACACTACCACGCCCGGCTAATTTTTTTATTTATTGTAGAGATGACGTCTCGCCAAGTTGCCCAGGCGGGTCTCGAACCCACGGGCTCAGGCAATCCACTCACCTCAGCCTCCCAAGGCGCGGGATTACAGGCTGAGCCACCGAGCCCAGGTAAGAAGACACTTTCTAGCAGAGGGAACAGCCTAAGCAAAGTCAAAGTGACTGATTGGAAAAGAATTTCAGCAGCTGGTGTTGCCAGAGCATAAGGACAGGGGCAGGGGGAGGGTGGCCAGCTGTCCTGGCTGGCCTGGGATTGAAGAGTTTTCCAAGGCACAGGTGATTCAGTGCTAAGACCAGAACAGTTCTGGAACAGAACAGTTGGCCAACCAAGCAGATAGGCGCAAGCAACCTGGCTGGAGGAGGAGTAAAGACCCTTCATGGAAGGCTGTGTGCTGTGGTGGCGGTAGCTGGAACGTATTCTGGGGGCAGTGGGAGTCGTGGGAGGGTTTTATTTTGGGTTTTGTTGTTGTTTCTTAGTTGAAGCCTCACTCTGTCGCCCAGGCTGGAGTGCAGTGGCATGCTCACAGCCACCCCAGCATCCACCCACTGGGCTCTGGCGATCCTTCTGCCTGAGCCTTCCAAGTAACCAGAACAACAGGTGCATGCTACCATGCCCAGCTAATTTTTAAAATTTATTTATTGTAAAGATGAGGTCTCGCCAAGTTGCCTGGGCTGGTCTTGAACCCACGGGCTCAGGCAATCCACTTGCCTCAGCCTCCCAAAGTGCTGGGATTACAGGCTGAGCCACCAAGCCCAGCCCATGGGAAGGTTCTAGACAGAGATGTGATTGCTGTGGTCAGATGTGCACATTACAGTGTCCATGTGATGGCTGGGAGAGGGTGATTTGGAGCAGGGAGTAGAGGCAGGGAGACCAGTGAGCTGGAGAATAGAAATAATGCCGCCTGGATCAAAGCGGTAATGAAAAGGAAGAAATGGAGAGAGATATAGTAATTATGAGGCATGCATGCTGTGTAGAGCAGCAGGCCTCCAGTCCCAAGTCTACAAGGTCTGACAATTTTAGGTTCACAAACCAGCCTAGAAAAAGCACTCCATACCTCATTGCTGAATATCACTACAGTCACCTTCGAAGTACTCCCCTTGGGAAGTTGTGCACCGGACACCAGTTCCTAGTCCTCCTGTCAAAGTAATAATTTTGGGACTGCTTTTCTAGAATGGCCATCAGGGCCCTCATCATTTGCCGTCGACATTTGACAATTAAGTTTGCGAACATGCCACTGTGCACTTACGTTGGCAGCACTATGCAAATAAGTGTTGGAACACCCTCCCTCTTCACCTGATCTGGCCCCCAGGGACTTTTTCCTTTAGCCAAAGATAATTGAATATTGGAAGAAAGACATTTGATGACATTCGGGACATGTCACACAACGATGGCTCTGATGGCCATTCCAGAAACAGAGTTCCAAAATTGATTTGACAGGTGGACTAAGTGCTGGCATCAGGGCATAGCTTCCCAAGGGGTGTACTTTCGAAGGTGACCGTAGTGGTTTGGCAATGAGGCATGGAGCACTTTTTCTAGGATGAGTTCAAGAACTTAATTGTCAGACCTTGTAGATAAACTTTCAAGAATGTGATTGAATTATCACAACTGCTATTTGTCAGGAGTCAGGTGTAGTGGCTCACACCCACAATCCCAGCTATTCAGGAGACTAGGCAGGTTGCTTGAGCCCAGAAATTTGAGTCCAGCCTGGGCAACATAGTGAGACCCGTCTTAAAAAAATAAAAAATATAAACTATCATTTGTCAGCTAATACATGATGAAACACAAGCCACAGCTCTGTTTGTTCAACGAGTATAAAATTCTCCAATTTGGGGACAAGATCCACCATCATGCCCAAGAATCAACACCTTTCTAGGGTAGGCAGAATAATGCCCCCTAAAAGATGGCTACATCCCAGTCCCCAGGACCTGTGACTATGTTACCTTACATGGAAACAGGGATTTTTAGATATGATTAAATTAAGGGTCTTGAGATGGGGTGATCATCCTGAATTATCCAGGTAGCCCAGTGTAATCAACAAGGGTCCTTGGCTGGGCAAGGTGGCTCACGTCTGTAATCACAGCACTTTGGGAAGCCAAGGCAGGAGGATTGCTTGAGTCCAAGAGTTCAAGACCAGCCTGGGCAATATAGTGAGATCTCAGCTCTACAAAAAAAAAAAAAGCTGGGTGTAGTGGCACATCCCTACAGTCCTAGCTACTTGGGAGGCTGAGGTGGGAGGATTGCTGGAACCCAGGAGTTTGAGGCTGCAATGTGCTGTGATTGCACCTCTTTGCTCCAGTTTGGGTGACAAGAATGAGACCTTGACCCAAGAAAAAAATTGTTTAAATAATAAAATAATGAGACAGCCGGGCTGGGTGGCTCAGCCTGTAATCCCGCGCCTTTGGGAGGCTGAGGTGAGTGGATTGCCTGTGCCCACGGGTTTGAGACCCGCCTGGGCAACTTGGCAAGACCTCATCTCTACAATAAATTTTTTAAAAAATTAGCCAGGTGTGCTAGCACGCTCCTGTAGCTCCAGCTACTTGGAAGGCTGAGGCAGAAGGATCGCCGGAGCCCAGCAGGTCAAGACTGCGGTGGCCGGGAGCAGCCACTGCACTCCAGTCTGGGTGACAGAGTGAGACTCCAACTCAAAAATAAATAAGAA